ATAACGTCTTGCTGTTTTGTCTGGCCCATGCCCTTCAGCCTGTACACATGCATGTGTGGGGGTGGGCATCCAGGTGGGTGGGGGTGCATGCATGTGTGTGCGTCCATGTGTGCAGAGGTGCAGGTATCCATGCGGACAGGGATGCATGCGGGCAGGGAGGCGTGTGGCCGTATGTATGCACACACACACACACACATTGCTTTGGCCCTAAAAAATGTGAAAAATATTTGATTTGGCCCTCAAGCTTAAAAGTTTGGAGACCCTTGTTATAAATCATCGAGTCCAGCCCATGCCAGGGAGACACAGTGAAGAATCACACTGTAATGCCTGGCTCTGCAGCTAAATGACTGATACTTATCCAGCAGTTAAATGTTGGCGTTTCCCAGAGAATCGAACTTGCAATGCCTGGCTCTGCAGCTAGAGACTTAAATGACTGATACGTATCCAGCAGTTAAATGTTGGCGTTTCCCAGAAAGCTAGTTTATATATAAAGTGTGTGTGTGTGTTTATAGTAGATCTAATTTACATATCTGTGTTGGAGGAGCAAATAATACATTACTTACAGATGGGCACAGATCTCTTTGTTAATGAAAAGCAACTGGGGAGTTGCAGTGTTGCACGTAAGCAAAAAAAGGAAATGCTCAACTCTTTCTTCACTCACTGTTTTTCCAGTCAAAATTGGGTGTGTACTTACTTACTGATTTTTTTTATATTGCCTGTTTTGGCCATGGGCCACTCTGGGATATTTACAACATATAAAATCAAATTACTAACATACAAGCAACAGAACAAAGAATAATAATAATAAAATGTAATAAACAATATCATCAAAGCATAAAATACATTAACATAAAACATTCAAATCATTTAAGATGGCAGACTTAATCAGATAGGCTAGCTAAGTTCAGCTGAGTGCGCAGGTATAACATTTTTGAATGTCTGTCTAAATAACCAGGTTTTTAGTGATTTTTTTAAAAAAAATTGCCAGAGGAGGGGCCAAATGAATTGCAAGTGGGGGAGTTCATTCCACAGCCAAGGAGAAACCACTCAGAAGGCCTGGTTTCTCATCTTCTTTTTCTGGACCTCTCTTGGGGTTAGCATCCTCAGCTGACCTGGGAAAACATTGCAGGTTCACAGATCTGTGTGCAGTTTTTGGTTTGGGGAAGTATATGCTACACTTTCACTTCCACCAGAGGCAGAGGATGCACCGAAGATTTGGTCTAATTGGCACCAGTGGTGCCAACTCTATTTCCAGTAATTTGCATATACTGTAACTCTTAAGGTCAAAGCCTTCATAATAGCCTGGAAGCAGTTTTAATGAATCACTTTAACAGCCCAATTATGACTAAATAAGACTTCCGTACGACATGGAAAAGATAGGTTATAACAATATTTTGGGTTTGTTTAAAAATGATTCACAAATGTGGATTTTATTTTTCCCCTAAGTTCCATTAGTGTCACCTTAATGATTTCTCAGTCAAGTGAATGCCAAAAAATAGTCCTCAGGGCAGATTTTTCCAGGACAGATTTTTAGGTCCATAGTTTATCATTTCTATAAATGCTTGCAGAGTTTAAACACCAGCCTTTTTTCATACATACTGAAAGGCATTCTGAAGAAGTTATATAATACTTGTGGTGTGGAGAGGAAGGAACTTTTATGTAATATTTCTTCTTTCGTATACCTAACAAAAAGTACAATAAAGTTAAATAAAGCACAATGCTTTTTGTAAAGCAGGAGTGAGAGGAATTTGTGACCAAAATCCTGTTCGGTATTTTCACATGACATGAGTTCCACATGTGGAAGTAGATGGGGCAGTCTGATGAAGTTCTGGTTGTTTATGACCAGGCACACAGCTGGCACCTCATCAGATCATCAACTAGAGTACTGTACACTGAATTATTGAACAGGGTGCTGGCCTGGTTCAGTGCTTTCCAACTCCCATCCATGCCAGCTAACACGGGCAACCATCATGGAGCATCACAGATTCACCACCATCACGACAGATGAAAATCTATCCCAGGCAATTTTGAGCTATTAAAGAGGACAAATGTAAATGCTTTGAGTATTTATCAGATCCTGAATTGCTACAAATCTGTAAAAATGTTACTGTTTTTCAGTGTTAAAATGTGGTAACACTGAAAAACAGTTAACATTTCTACAGATTTGTAGCAATTCAGGATCTGGTGTTACTGTTTTTCAGTGTTACCACATTTTAATAATTGAAATGTGGTGAAGAATCCATACATTCTGCAGTATTAGAGGTTTTGGATTAGGAGTACTGCAGGATATTACTAATTTTTTTGACAGAGATCTAGTGTGTAGTTTCAAGGAAGAAAGTTACATCAACCTTTACAGTGCATAGATTTATACAAATTAAAAGCTTTTCTTTTCTTTTATTTTCATTAATGTTTGCTGTGGGTTTGGGAACAAGCCATGATCGAGGGTGTTGAAATCCTTGTGGAATGAGAGGGATACTACTGGTGTTATGTTGGGTTGGGCATGGTGGAATAAAGATGGTAGGATGAAATGTTTTGGTTTTGGGTTATGTTATTTATTTATTTGATTTATACCCCGCCTATCTGGACTACCAGACCACTCTTATGGGGTGTTCATTTTAGGGAACCATGGTTTTATTTGCTTTTGTCATAGAATAGAATGTGAATGTTATTAGAGAAGGCAAGTTAATATTTTAATATAGATTGTAAAGTGAAAGATTTGCTTATTTTCAGATGATACTTTATTAACAATACAAAATATTAATAGTTATGGATAGGGTAAAATTATATTTTAAATAATTTGAGATATAACATTGTTACAGATAAACTGGGGTAAAGCAAGGATGATGTTGTTTAATTATGGTAAAGAGGAAGAAGAGTTAATTAGAAGAAAAATCTGATGTTAATATTTGAAAAGGTATTAAATACTAAGGTAGAAATATTTCAAAGAGTTTAGAATGTTTGAAAGAAAAATATTTGAACAACTTGAAACAAGAAATGAAATATAAATTAGATGATTTTAAGAAGATTGAATTGTCATGGTTTGGTAGAATAAGGCAAAGGTAAAGGTTCCCCTTGACAATTTTTGTCCAGTCGTGTTCGACTCATCGCTGTTTCCAAGCCATAGGGCCAGCGTTTTGTCCGAAGACAATTTTCCGTGGTCACATGGCCAGTGCGACTTAAGACACGGAATGCTGTTACCTTCCCACCGAGGTGGTCCCTATTTATTTACTTGCATTTGCATGCTTTCAAACTGCTAGGTTGGCGGGAGCTGGGACAAGCGACGGGCACTCACTCCATCGTGTGGATTCAATCTCACAACTGCTGGTCTTCTGACCCTGCAGCACAGGCTTCTGCAGTTTAGACCGCAGCGCCACCACGTCCCTGTGACTACATTGATTAGTGTGTCTCATTTGCAGAATCACTGCCTTGCACCAGTGGAGTCTGGTGACTTAACTAAAAGAGAGTTGGAAGACTGGCAAAATATGATTAATAAATTTTGTAGTGGAGATAAAAGACCATGGACAAATAAGAAGAGGTGGTATAAATCCCCCAAAATGGGAGGGTTAGGTCTTCCTAATTTAAAACTTTATTATATAGCTAATAAGATAAAACATAGTTGATACAGTAGCTCAGTTTAACAATTTATTATTACATATGGAATTACAGGAAGTTAGCTGATACTCTAAGAATATTTTATTTAGACAATATAAGGATGTTATAAAAACTGAAAATCCCTTTTAAAAATATGCTTTTAATTTGGAACAAGTATATGAGCATATTTATTCTGTCAATTTCTCTATTATACTCAGTGGTAGAACTGAAGGAATTTCTGGAAATTTTAAAGGAGAATTTAGAGAAAGTATTGAGGATAAAACAAGCTACCAGGTTAAAACACTGGTCAGAAGAGAAGGAGGAAAGAATTAAAGATATGTTAGGAATGGAGAGATTATTGTGGTTTAATTTCATTCAGTTACAGAGATGTGGTTTATACTGGATTAAAAGAAATGGTAAATGTAGGCCATTTTACAAAATTTGAACAAATGGTACTATGGAAGGAAAAAATAGATGAATATAAGTTAATGAAATGGATAACAAAATTAATACGATATTATTAGAAGCTGAGGATCAACAAGATTTTCTTAATCAATGTGGAGGAAATAAGTACTGAGGTGTGGAAAAACATGGGATATAAGATTATTGAAGTCTATGTCTATAAGGATAAAGGACAATGTTTATAAATTGATTTGGTGATGGCATTAAATTCTGATTAAATTAAATGAAATAATTATTTTTTAAAGATGTCTTGGAGGGGTTGTCAGAAAGTCAATACCTACTTTTATATGTGGTGGAAATGTGAAAATATATGAACATTTTAGCAGTTTGTTTTTAAGGGGAAAAATGAAATACTAAGTTAGAGCCATGCTTTAAAATAGCACTTTTAGGAGCAATGGAGATGTACTAGAAAAGAATTATTTTCAAACTTATTAATAGTGGTCAGATTAATAATAGCAAGGAACTCAAAAGAAAAATATGATTTTCAATTAAATGAATAATATTTAAAAATGGAATATTGCCATTCATAAGATGTTCAATCTTAAAGAAGTGTGAAATAAGAATATTTTTATAAATATCTGGGGATAATGCATTGATTATGTTTTAATAAAGAGGAAAGGTTGCGTACCTTCGCAAGAACCAGTGCAGTTCTGGGAGGGGTAGGTGACTGTAGTAGTATAAGGGGAAGAAAATTGATTCCACAGTATCTCCAAATGCCAGTGGGGTGTGTGGATGACCACATATGATCATATTATTTAAATGTATCAGTGTTAATTCATTAGTTATGTAATTTCTCTTTTTATATTTATTTGTTTTTTTCTGTTGTAATTTTTAATCAAAATTAAATAATAGATCCTTGCTTGATTTCAGATGGTTTTTGGTGCAGCTTGTTCTCCTTAAAATATAGAAGTTATTTGAACAGTGCAACTGTCTTTTTTCTCCTCCAGTCAAATTGCTACTTCAAGCTGAGGAGAGAGGTGTGGTATCAATCAAAGGTGTATGTGCCAACCGCTTCCTTGCTATGAGTGAAGATGGCAGATTGTTAGCACTGGTAAGCAAATGTTAATATTTCATTTCCCCTACCAAATACTGTTCTTATGCTATAGCTGAAGCATGAACAGGGATATTGTAAAAGTCCTATAATAATTTCTAAGCATAGGGTTTGGTGGTTTGGTATACTTTGGCAGATCAGGCATAACATAAGACCATAAGAAGGGCCCTGCTGGATCAGGCCAAGGGCCCATCTAGTCCAGCTTCCTGTATCTCACAGTGGCCCCACCAGATGCCTCTGGGAGCACATGAGACAACTAGATACCTGTCTCCTGATACCCCTCCCCAGCATCTGCCATTTTGAGATACCTTTTAAGCCTGGAGATCATACATCCCCATCATGGCTTGTAACCTGCAATGGACTTTTCCTCCAGAAATCTGTCCAAATGCCTTTTAAAGGCATCTAGGCCAGATGTCATCACCACATCCTGTGACAAGTTCTGCAGACTAACAACATGCTGAGTAAATTAGTATTTTTTGTCTGTTCTTGCTCTCCCAACACTCCATTGGAGTGAATGTCCCCTGGTTGTGTGAGAGGGAAAAGAGCTTCCCTCTATCGACTTTATCTATCCCCTGCACAATGCCTACAGGTGTTCTGCAGGTGCCTCAGATTCCCCATCCCTGCTCCTCCTCTGGGTCCCCACTCAGAGACAGTGTCCTGGGCTTTGCTGCCCCGCCTCTTCTTCTGACTAGGACCTTGCTGGAGGAGGCAGGGCAGGGAATCCAGGGTGCCTGTGCCCGACATGAAACACTTGTGGGTTTGTGCCCATCTCTATTCATTTACTTTAAACGGTCTGTTTTGATTAACTTTACAATCCCATATGTATCTGCTCAGAAGTCTCTCCCACTCTCTCCCTTTCTTTGGATCTGGGTCTTTATCATATCTTTATTTAGCTGAGTTTATATTTATTTAATGAGTTTTATTTAATGAGTTTTAAATCTCATCATTTACTATTATGAAGAGCAAGTTTATAGAAAGCTGTTATGTTAAACCCAAGTAATATTAATCTCTGTATTACAGAGGCATGAAATTTAAAGATAAAATAGTGATTGGATAAAAACATCTTGATAAGTGCTGTAATCATGAGTCAAATTAATACATTAGGTTGGAAAGCTGTATTTCACAACAGCAGCTAACAAGGAATCATTTATTCTTCTTTCATTTTTCAGAAATACATAACAGACGAATGCTTCTTTTTTGAACGCTTGGAGTCTAATAACTACAATACATATCGCTCTCGCAAATATAGTGATTGGTATGTTGCACTGAAACGAACTGGTCAATATAAACCCGGACCAAAAACTGGACGAGGCCAGAAGGCTATTCTTTTTCTTCCCATGTCTGCCAAGAGTTGATTCCAGTGATTTAATTCTGTAAAATACACCACAAGAGTGATAGACCTTTCCTGTTCCCATAAGATGGAAAAATGTGACCAAATAGCTGCAAGGATCAAGTGCATTTGCAGTGATTTTGTATTGTTGCTATGTAAAATCATGTATTTTAGACTTTAAAACTGTTTTATTTTCTGGAAACCATGTGCTTTTCTGCCTATATATGATCATTTGTGTAAGTGTGCAAATTTAACAGGATACACCAATACACATTTACTTCCAGCCAGATACTACATAAATTTTCTACTGGGTGAGGTGGGAGTACAGGTTAAAATTTGATTTGGGCTGTTCATTGTAATGAGGATTTAATGTACCATAGTTAAGAAAAGTATTTAGCATTTTAAGTGAAATAATATAAACTGTTGTCATTGAAGTCATAAAAGTGAATATGGAATTTAATTTCAAGTAACATATCCATGTATTTTGCTACAAGCGATATTGAACAAAAATAATTCTAAACTTACGGTAAATTTATCGTGTTTCTATAATTCTCTGGCAGCTGTCTGTGATACAGCTTATAGAAAAGACCTGTGTACACTGCTGGAAATTCTCTCATGGTTATATCTATTTTATCAAACCCTTCTCTGTATCCATACAGAAGCAGCTTAGCTACATTGCTGGTGATTGGAGTAGCTTCCTTTGTCTTGGCAAGTTCAGTTAGATCCATCCATTCACACCTTAGGCATTCCTGCTGGCAGAAGTTGATGCTGAAAGACGAAGGTTCTAACCGGCAGATAATATAGAGGTCTGATTTTCCAAAGGCTCCAGGGTGTCTGTGTTGCTGCCTTATGCTTAGCAGGGCTTTGAATTCTGATTTTATGCCTGTCTCTTCAAAGACTTCTCGAACCGCTGTGTTCCCTAAGAGAAGGAAAAAATTTCCATCTACTTTTAGTTAGAAATTACATTTCAAGAGCATTCATTATGATTCAGTCCTGCTTATGCTGTCCTCTCCCAGCCATTACTCCATTCTGATACCTTGTATTCACCCTACCTTCTCTTCTATTTGATTTGGTCAAAACACCACAGCGATTTGTTGAGCATATAAAATCACTGCTGCAGGTAAAAAACCCTCTTTGTTATATTTGAAATTATGCAGCTAATTTGTTTTCTGTTCTCATTTTTCACATCTTTAAACATTTAAGTAGTCAAAATTATTTAAGGGTAGGCAAACCTCAACAACATAGAACTAGAAAGCACAGCTTAACGGTTTCCCAAATTTCTGAAGAAAATTATCCATTAGAATTATAAACCTGTGGGCCCCATGGTCTTCCTGAGGAGTAAAACTCTTAGTGCATTATAGCATTTTTTGGCAACAGATCCGTTACTTTGGAATCATTCATGCAACTGAAATGAGTGAATTTAGTGAGAAAACCGTACAGTTAAGCTTAGAATGCATTCATGACTGGAGCAAGCGGTACTAGCCTGGATACAGGAAATCTGTGATGTCACCTACACAAATATTCAAAGCCACAGTAGAATAGAACACCATAGTAGTCGTATTACTTTCTGTTTTGTGAGCAACTAAAAACCACAATTAAACTAGTCTGTTTATGTTTTGTGCACTTGGCCCTAGAAACTAAAACTGTAGTGTTTCTAAATAGAGACCAGGGGAAACTTTCATTTGAGGCAACTTACCTCATAGAAATTTAATGTATTTTTCACTGAATAGTCATGAGAATCTACAAAACAACAAAATCAAGGATTCCTGGTTTCAAAGAAATTTTACACATGACCCCTTTAGGAATATGCATTTTTAAAGGAGCTGATAAGGGTTCTCGTGCATGTTGTGAGCCTTTCATTGTGGAAATGTTGACACACCAGCCCACATTATGAACTTGTTTATTCCCACCCCTTGATTCAGAAGTCAATATTGGTCCACAACAAGTTAATAGAAGGTGCAAATTTAATGCTTTTGAGGTAGGATTTGTCTTTAACACCAACATTCAACACCAATAATGCTGGCAATGTTTCCCACTGAACTGAGTGACACTCCTGAGTAAACGTGCTATTGTGCTGCTAATATCATTGAAATTCAAGGGCCAAATACTTACCAATATCTTCACCAGGTTCAGACAGTCCTCCTGGAAATTTCCATGCATTTGTTGTCTTAAATGAGAATAAAATAATGAGAAACTTAAACTCCTTCTTTGCCCTGTCTACAAGGAACCAGAGGTATGATTCCTGTCTTTTTTGACTATTCCTCATCTATAACCTTTTCATTGCAAATGTGATAATTAAGAACAAAATCTGTACAAGATATTTCAATGATATATCTACTGATTTGTCTAATTACTGTTAGATGGTTTATACTTGCAACATTGCTGCTCATTAACTAAAGTAAAATAATAAAGGGGATACAGTGGTGCCTCGCATTACGACGTTAATTCATTCCAGTGAAATCGCTGTAGAACAAAAACGTCATAATATGAAAATAAAAAGCCCACTGAAACGCATTGAAACCCCTTCAATGCATTCCAATGGGCTGGAAACTCACCGTCCAGCAAAGATCCTCCATAGGGCGGCCATTTTCGGTGGCTGTCTTGCGAGGAATCCGTCCCAGAAAACAGCGGGGAGCCATTTTATTTACCCGGTGGCCATTTTCGAAACCGCCGATCAGCTGGAGGAAAACCGTCATTTTGCGAAGAATCGGTTCTCGAAGCAGGGAACCGATCATCACAAAACAAAAAAAAACAATTCAGACCATCGTTTTGCAATCACAAAAAGATCGCAAAAAGATCGTCGTAATGCGGTTTCATCGTAATGTGGGGCAATCGTAAAGCGAGGCACCACTGTATTAAAGAAGCTGCTATGTGTAATTATATTTTGTGGTTCCTATCCAACACCAATTTAGGTGTGCTTTAATTTGTGGGCTTCAGTGCATCTAACTCTGTGCTGGATTGGAGACTGTATAACAATGTTTAATCATATATATTTTACTTCAGTGTTTGCTTTTTATAACATCATTAAATTTTCTAAACGGAGATTATGATTGTAGTACTGTTTTGTACTGCACTGGCTATAAAGTTTTCTTTTGTAATTGTAATAATCAACATGTGCAATGTGTCATTTTTTTTGACATTGGCCAAACATTAATCATTTTTGTTTGTTACCTGTTGACTTACTTGTTCTATAATTCAGATTAAATAGTTTTTAAAAACCTGAGATTTCAGTGATTGCTTCATTAATTATTTAATACAGCCCACTTAACCCACCAGAAAAAAGGGACGTGCGCTGAATGCATTATTTTGATTGGTATTTGTTCAGGGTAATATATCAAGGAAATGTATGGTATATTTCTGGGAATATTTCACTTTTGACAGAGTGGAGGGGTAGCAACCCTAATCAACCAGTCTGTATTGACTGATGTTAAATCAAGTATTCTTTAAAGCAACAGTATACTTTACAGGGAGAAATTTAGGGTATAAATCAAATACATACATACATACATACATACATACATACATACATACATACATACATACATACATACATACATACATACATACATACATACATACATACATACATACATACATAAAGTATATGTCCTTCACTGCGACAGAGCCAGCCTGTGTAACTCTGAGTGAGCTGCACAGTCCCAGGCACTAACAGAAGAAGAGAAGGGTAAACCACTTCTAAGTACTCTCTACTTAGAACACACTGAAAAGGCTTGCCTTAAGTCACAACTGACTAGACAACCCATTATTATTATTATACATATATAGATATCTACATAATACTTCTTACTCATTCAAGAAAAAAATTTCCTTGGATGTTTCATAAAATAGTTCAACAAGATTTTTGATTATAAGTACACATATATGTAAGCATTTATAACGTGTTTGTGCATCTACACAGCAGGGGTAACCAGGCCTGTAGTATTTTGCCAGATTACTTAGCAGTTTACACTATAGAATGCAATGGGACATGATTTCTGTGTAAATACATATTGGATTACATATCCTATGTAGTACTTATTGGATTACAGTAAGAAATACTTTCCATAGAGTATGGTTGGATCCATTCAGCTAGAAAATGGTTGGATCCATTGATTTTTCTATGAACTAAGTAATAATTAATCAGGTATCTCCACATACAGTATGGGCAGCAGTATAGGGGTATTCTAGCATTTTCATATATTCAACCAATCAACATATACTTTGGTGGAACTTTGTTTTCAGTCATGAGAAAATGTTCTGGGCTTTTGCAATGAATCACATAAGCAAGGGGAAGGAGTCTTTTCAGAGGCAAGATCCCACTCACCCACCTCTGGGAACTATGACATCAGGGGACATTGTTAAAGGCACTGGGGGTTTGCTTTCAAGCTTAAAAAGATGCCAACCCACTTACAGGTCAGTGATTGTAGAAATACATATTGGCTTTGAACTTTCAATACACTTGCCCACACATCTGGAATCGGCAGAAATTTCTAAACATGCATGTCTGCATTCATCTGTATAAACACACGTTGCTGTATCTAAAAGCAGCTGTTGGCAAATGTCACTAAAAGGCATGGAGCCAAATCCTTAACAAATACAATACTTGAACTAATTCACTGTCTTTGTTCAGAAGTGCATTTTAAACTGTATTTTTTTTTTGAAGAGTGGTTGCTTCTTCTATTAAAATAATATTCTGTAGCATCTATTGGATGTTATTTTCCCAGTTGGAGAGCATGGATTTTCCTATGCTGGAAACCATTATTATAAACCATTAACAGCTTACAATATGTGTGCAAAACCTATACATTAAAACGGCAATTAGTCAAAATGAGTCTGGTATAAAAATACAAACAAGCTGTACATGACTAAAAAAATAAATGCTAGTTGCTACATTGGGTATTTTCTGATCTGTAACACTTGAATTGCAAATTAGGCATACTATATAATAACACCTTATTTTTGAATGCTATATTTTAGAAGTGACTAAACCAATGGCAACTTCTTTTGTGCGTGTGTGTTTGTGTATTATATTTGTTGACAGAGGGTTCACACAGAAAACAGGGACTCCACTGGTATCAGTAATTAGGTTTTTGAGTTTCTTATTTTTTTAAGAGCTGTATATTTAGATCGACAATTTCTGTCCTGTTCTTAGTATTTCTGATATCATTCAGATTTGCCATTGAATTTAACAAACATAGCTGGCCTGTGAAATGGGCAATGAAAAGGGAGTCTTAATCCACAAAGTTATTGATTCAGGCTGATTTGTAAGGAGAAGCAATTACCAGAGGCCACTTGTTTCGACATTACAGAAGCGACTATGACTGTGACAAACACTTGAGCTTTGGCAGATTTGGCCATCCTTGAGGTTAAGCAGTGGAACATTTGTGAAATACAATCTGCCCATGTGCGAGTTCTTCTAGTTGCAGTCCATGGGTAAAGTAAATCAATTATTGCAGGATTAATGGTACAAATAATGTATGTCAGGATGTTTGAAAATGGTCATACTGAGAACAGACTCAGTACACTCACGCTGTTAAAATATGGCGCAGGAAACTGCCAGGTCTGATATAGGGTAGGGCAAGGTGCTTTCTTTTCTCCCTCCTTTCTTAGCGCTTCTTTGGTGGTCCCCTATAAGCTTAGCAGGTGGCAGATACCAGTATAGCTCCAGTCCCGAGGTCACAACTCAGTACTGCAAAAAGCAGCAACGGACACCATCTTGTTAACCATGCCTCTGAGCCCTAATGTTTACCCCATTATGGCAGATGCTGATGTCGGCCTGACCATAGCAAGTGATCTTACCTGTAGTCTCTAAGTACAGTAATCCAGATAAAATGAAAATAGAAATCAAGAGAACAAATAGGGGATGAGGAGAGGAAGTTGCATTGGAAACAATATTAATGCCTGTGATTCTTCCTGTTCTGCTCCTAAGAAGCTTCTGCTGTTGGCTGAGCTGCTGTGCAGCAGAATTAGGCAGACTCTGGTAAAGGGTTTTGGACAAAGAGAGGTAACCCAGGAAAGAAACTGAGTGTTAATGCAGTGGAAGGGAATTTACTATCTTAACAGTCCTTCTATATTCTAACAACAGCAGTAGTTTGAAGAAGTATTTCCTGCACATAAGCAGACTGGAAGAAGGGGTGCAAAATGTAGGTAAGCTCTTTCAGCGCTTCAGCTGATGTAATGAGGAACACAGACCATTTTGCTGGTAAGCATCAGACATGTTACTGTACTTTGTTGAATTCTGGATGTTCAGGTTACTTTCAAGATCAGAACAAAGCGTAACCAGAGTGTCTCCGGCATTCCTTGAAGTAATGAGGAACACAGACCCTTTTGCTGGTAAGCATCAGACATGTTACTTTGTTGAATTCTGGATGTTCAGGTTACTTTCAAGATCAGAACAAAGCGTAAGCAGAGTGTCTCCGGCATTCCTTTGCTGGTGGACACCAACCATACTCCTTTGCTATTTGAATCTTTTTCCTATTAAACATTAGTTCTCTATGCCTGTTTTCTTTCTACCGAGCTGTGGGATTAGTTGCTGTAAATGTAATTGAGATCAAATCAGTTTCTCTTTGGGGCAAATACCATACTATGGTGGAGCGACCTTATGATGCACTGGTAGTGGTAGAATGACCAGTGATGCTGTGAATGCAGTCTCTCAACTACACAATGTGTTTTTCCTTAGCTGTTAAGCCGCATTTACTGATGACTGTGCGCTAGGTCAGTGGTTCTTAACGTGGGCGATAATGCCCCCCAGGGGGTTCAAGAGTGTGAATGCATCAACTACACAGTGTGTTTTTCCTTAGCTGTTAAGCTGCACTTACTGATGACTGTGCACTAGGTTACAGCAGCTTTAGTCTTAGTATAGTGGACCCACAAGATGGTTCCCTTAATCAGAGGAGGCTAAGCTGGATTCAGCTCATGTACACCCTGTACAGTGGACCCTTGACTTACAGACGGCTTGACTTACAGACTTTTTGAGTTACAGACTTCTCTGGCCGCAAAATTTAGGTTTGACTTGCAGACTGAGATTTGATTTACAGACCAGAAAAAAACCAAAATGGAACAAAAACGGCCTGTTACGGAATTAATCGGTTTTCAATGCACTGTAGGTCAATGGAGACTTTACTTACAAACTTTTTGACTTGAGAACCGCCTTCCAATACGGATTAAGTTCTCAAGTCAAGACCCCTCTGTAATGCATTTGGGCCTTAATATCATGCACATTTCAGTACGGCTTGCTGCTTATACTGTATAGTGGAGTCTAACGAGCAGTTACTCTGCCAGTTTTAGCTGGCTTCCTGTCTCTGGTAAAACTTAAGGAATTCTCCTCAAGCAAATTACAGCAGACACCCATAGCTTATTTTTTAAAATTCAAACACAGCTGCTTTTTCCCTAGAATTCTAAAAGAAATGAGACTGTGCTTAATAGTTTTAGGACTGGGTTTTGTAGTTTCCACTTTGTTAAAACAAATCTATTTACTCCTCTAATTTTGTCTGCAATAACAGCCAAGAGTGGCTGCTTTGGTGGGGGAAAAAAATCAGAGTGCATGCAAGACGTGGATTGATTTGACAATGTCTGTTTCAAGTGTCCATCCATGTTCAAGAGGATTTGCTGGAGAGTATGTGCACATGGCATTTAATTTATGCTTAATAATTATATAGTGTCAGGGTTTATGAGGTAGAGAGTACTCAAAAGTGGTTTGTGCAGCTTGCCCAAGGTCAGGCAGGCTGGCTCTGCTATCTTCAGCTCTGCAGCCAGATACCTAGACCACTACTATACTGTATTAATAAAGGGAGGGAATTTACCCTCCCGAGAGAGTGAAAGCAATGTTCACAAAAACTTTTTTTAAAGGCAAAGATAAAAACCAACAAACCATTAATCAGACATTGTTTACAAGACCACAATAATCAAAAAGGGATAAATGTAGACTTTCAGCAAAATTTTCAATGGGCTTTTATATACTACTTAAAATACATAAAATTAAACATCCCTTTCAAAATTTAGTGAATTAATCAGGATTACTTCAGACCATTGCTATCCCAGCTAACCGACAAAAAAGTAATCACATAAATGACTCTTACTCAAAAGTATTTGCCTTTGCCCTTTTAACCACAAAAGTAAGCTGAATACAGTTACTTTACCATTATAACAGAGAAGGGAACAGATTTTAGTACTCTATAATATACTACACAGTATTCATGCCAACAGGCTAGGTTAACACACTAATGGAAGAAATGCCAGTGGTGGCAATGTTACACCAAAATTTAGTGAAAGGCTTTACACCTCACAGATTTGATGCAGGCACTTCTCTTGAGACATTGTGCAAAGATCTAGTGCATGGGGTTGCACAATGCCAAACAGTGGGGAGCCCACTCAGAGGCCACCCTGGCTTTTTGATTTCATTCACCAAACTCAACCATGAGTTGACCTGACTGCCAAACGGAAGACCAACAGCATTTTTTCACAAATGCTGTCACAGAACCATAGGCAGTAGCTTTATACTGAATGAGACAATTGTTCCATCTAGTCCAATAGTGTCAAGTTTTGAGTGGTAGCAGCTCTCCAGGGTTTCACATAGGATTCTTTCATAGACCTACCTGGATATTCCTGGTGGTCTCCTATCCACAGGCCCAAAACTGCTTAGCTTCTAAAGTTAGACATGACTGGGTGTCTCCAGGTTGGTATGGGAGTACAATCAGTAACATGACCCCTCAGAACACTGTATTTTAATTGAAAGGATCTTGAACTATGACAGGAAAAACCTTCACGCTTGCGAATGAATCTATTTCGTTCCAGCCCAAATTATTTCTTTCTTTCAAATAATATGAAATAAACTTACTTTATTCCTTTCTTGAATAACCAATACTTTCCCAGTGTGAATATCTAACACTGCACCTGTTGGGAAAAGAGTACTTTTTGTATTGCCTGATTTAATGACCTGTTATCAATTTTTACATTCAAATCTTTGGAAATCGCTGAGAAAAGTCAAGAGTATTGCTGATTTAAGAATTGTTCATGAGGAAAGTTCATGTACTGGCAATGCCATGCCTCTCATTCTAAGACCAAAGTGGTAAATCCAATGCTGGACCATATTTTTGCTCCTTAATTTTATGGCCTATGACTCACAGGGATGACTGATTCTATCCACCCTACCTCAGATTTGAAAGCACCTATAGATAGGAAGAGGCATTTACTTCAAAAAGATGCCTACACACACTTGCCTCAGGTTATCTACTCTATTCAGCTTCGGGAAGACTGTGAAGTTATCATATCTATAAAAGCATACATCCTAGACTACCGGGAAAAAGCATCTCTACATGTGGGGGAGATTAAAGAATGTGTTTTGTGACTGAAAACACCATCCCTCTCTTAATAATCACACTTCTGTGTGGGAGGAATGCTTTGCAAACTAAACATCTGAAGAAAAAAAAAAATCTAAAATGAAATTCCTTAGGAAATTAGTCACAAGTCTCTCAGTTCATGCCTTACAGTGCTTATGGCTTCATCCTTCCGGTACTTGGCTGGCAGTGTGCTAAGTGGGGTTGAATTCTGTTTAGAAGAGCGAGCATAAGATATTCAAATTGATGTTGAAAATAACCTTAGTAATGGAATTTACTTAGATTTCATTTTACCAAAGGAATTTCATGTTGGGTTTAAATTTACACAGTGTTCAAGTAACTGTACACCAGATAGGATTAAGAGTCATGCAACAAAACAGGGATCTTTGCCTGTTGCATCTCTGCTTAAGAGGCATCCTCTGTGGAGGTGGTATTTCCTTTATCTAGTCTCTTTCAAAATTCCACATGAGGGCTGTCAATGGCTTTACTGTATTTAGTTAGTTCTGTTCAGACGCTGATCTTCACGAAACACCAGGGCAGGTAATGACAAAATCAAAACAGTAATATACACTAAAGAAATACCTAATGAGCAGAACCAATAAACAGTCAGCAGACAGATTCCCTTAGAGGCAATTAATCACTCATAAATGTCTTGTAAGAAAATACTGCCCAAGTATCAGCAAAGTTGGCATCAGACATACCTCTTAGAGGAAGGGCATACCAAAGCTAGGGTACCACCATGAAAAGGACCTTATCTCATATTGCCATCCAATGCACTTTCCCGGCCACCTCCCCAGGTCAATTAAGCTGGTACAGAAAGTGGCACTTCTTCAGGTATTTGGATATTTCACTTAAAGGACTTTGTAGGTCAGCAACTGCACCTTCAATTCAGAAAAACAACTAATCTGTACATGTTGTTGTTGCTGTTTAGTCATTAAGTCATGTCTGACTCTTTGTAACCCCATGGACCAGAGCATGCCAGGCCCTCCTGTCTTCCAGTGCCTCCTGGAGATGGGTCAAATTCATGCTGGTTGCTTCAATGACACTGTCCAACCATCTCATCCTCTGTTGTCCCTTTCTCCTCTTGCCTTCACACTTTCCCAACATCAGGGTCTTTTCCAGGGAGTCTTCTCATGAGAAAAAAAGACACCCAAGATATGTCCTTGTATGGCATAGCCCATCGCTTCTCTGAATTACTTAAGCCCCTTCACCACGACAAGGCAGCAATCCATGAAGGGGAATCTGTACATCGAAAGAGACAATTTAGTTCTTTCAGGACTGGTGTTATATGTTCTTGACAACTTACCCTGTCAGTTTCCTGGCAATCACGTTTCGCTCCAAGTCTAACTTCTGGATCATTTTCAAGGGCAGCTCCAAGTAAAGTACATTAGAACAATTCAAACAAGAGGCTACCAGAGACTGTGCCACTGTGGCAAAGCTATCTCTGTTCAGGAATACCTGAAATAATACCTAGTCAACTACCAGAAGCTGGACAAATGTGCTCCATTCCTCTGGGGCCATCGGAGACAACACTGGATCAAGGTGCACCCCCAGATTATACACTTACTCTGCCAGGAAAAGTATCACCTCAACTAGAATAGGCTGTACCTTGCTTTGTATTTACTACCATCTTGAAATCTAGGTGTCCTGCTACCCTTATTAATTTTGGTGTGTCACGTAGTTAAAGGCGGAGGAAGAGAGTCTGGGGCTGGGGTGTAGAGGATTCTTGGCCACTCTGTTCCTCATTACCCGACTCCTCTTGACTATTTCCAAGACATGTGAAAAGCAAGCAGTGAAACTGAACCATAGTTGTAGAAACTTTGCAACAGCAGCAGTCTGCCTTGTTTATCAAAGAGAGAATAATCATTCACTTTATACAGTGGTGAGAACTGTGAGACAACTGAATCCATGTGCTTCACCTGCATGGGGGCTGCTAAGAACATCTTCTGTGGGAGGGGGAATGGCAACAGAACAAGAATGAATGCAAGTGCTGCTCATTTCCTTTAGGACATACAGTGGAATCTCGACTTACGGCTCGACTTACAGACTTCTCTGGCTGCAAAATTTAGATTCGACTTGCAGCCAGAGAATCGACTTACAGACCAGAAAAAAACCAAAATGGAATAAAAATAGAATAAAAACCACTGGTTGTGGGATTAATCGGGTTTCAGTGCATTGTAGGTCAATGGAGATTCGACTTACAGACTTTTCGACTTGCAGCCACCATTCCAATACGGATTAATTCCTTAAGTAGAGGGTCCACTGTAGGTAGGTAGGACCACAAGTAAGACTGTGCTATTACCATATAACAAACGTGGGCAAACAGTGGCGAGGGTGGATAAAGTGCAGCCTGCATGCAGCCCCCAGAGGCCTAAATGTTCCCTTCAGCATTCCTCAAAAGTGTAGAAATTTAAAAAAAGCAAAGAAAACCATTTTGGGGCTCAGAAACTCCCCTCCATTCCATTTAGGGTACATGGAAGCAATTTTGTCATGCTTTGAGCTTCTCCCCAGGATTTCTGAGGGCCCACATCCACCAAACAAATGCTGTAATGTTAAAAATAGGGGAGCTACTGAAGAGAGAATGGAGGCATTTTCAGTAACGCCCTCTGCTGTTTTAAAGAAAAAAGAAAATTTGGGGGGTGAGGTGGGATCATAAGACTGGTTCTCAAAGTTCACAGGATAAAAATCTGCACCTTCTGGAGGTTGGTCACACTCATACAACAAAAAGCGCAACACAAGGCTCTAATCTTATCTGAACTTAGAAGTAAATTCATTAGAGATTGCTCCCCCAGTAGTTTGAAACCTATATTGCCTTGGGTTATCAAGCTTCTGGATCTGCAATGTTACAGTGCTTAAGATAACAGATATGCAAATAAAACTGTGCAGTCTCTCAGGAGACCAATTACAAAACACAAGCACACTGATTTGCCAAATGCAGGTGGAGGCAAGCTCCTTTTAAAAGAATCAGATAACCTGTCAGCATGGCCCAGAATGTTGGACTAGGATTCACCCAGCTATAAAACCATTAGGTAGCCTCGGGCCAGTCCCATTCTTTGAGCCTGACTCATCTCACTGAGTAGTTGTGAGGATAAAACAGAAGAGAGGTGAGCTATGCATGCAACCTTGAGCTGACTAGAGGAAGACAGGATAAAAATGCAACTAATAAAGCAGAATACATTTTTCTGTATGGTTTGCGCTACTTTAGGGCATAGAATGAGTGCATTGTCTAGGGAGGCTCTCAAAGAATGAGAAAAGTGTGGAAACAGTTTGATCTGGTGTCCGTATTCAGCTAATACCTTTGTTGTGATTACTTGTTACCAAATTGCTTCTGATCCATGGCGACCCTACAAATGAGTGACCTCCAAAACAGTCCTCCTCTGGTCTTACAAACTGAAGACCCTAGCTATCTTTACTAAATCAGTCCCTCTCATGCCTGGTCTTCCTGTTTTACTATTGCCTTCAACTTTTCCCAGTGTCATTGCCTTTTCCATGGAAAATACTTTCATGTGTCCAATTAAACACAAAAGATCCAGGCTAGCTTTGTAGATCACAAACTTAATCATCAAGTCTGATGTAACAAAAAGCAGAGGTGGGCAAGAGGCTTGACATTAAAGCCATGTAATCTGCATACTGTTTTAAAGATGTTGCAACAAGAGAAACTCTGCAGACTATGAAACTGGGCTGAATATGTATCATGTTTCAGACACTGAGTGGCCCCCAGGCTTGCTGGGAGCAAGAAGAATAGACTAGCAGACTTTCTTTCGGAAATTGCAAACAACCCCCTCTATCTTGAAAACACAAACTGTCTATTTGGTGAGAAGTTCATAAATCCTTTGCTGGTTGAGAATGGAGTCTTACAGAGAGATTGAATATTCAAAGCGCTGTATCTGAGTTTCAAATATCTCCTGACGTTGTATTACAGTAAGCAGGTATCTCTGGACAACTTGATTGCACATTTTGGGCCTTAAGTCAGTGGCTTCTATAGTGATGTTCTCAGATGTTCCAGGGAGTTCACTGAGATTTATTGCTCAGTAAGTTTGCATCATAGTTATTACACTGCTATGTCAATGCAGATGGAGACAGCAGCCATGAAATTAAAAGACGCCTGCTTCTTGGGAAGAAAGCGATGACAAATCTAGACAGCATCTTAAAAAGCAGAGACATCACCTTGCCAACAAAAGTCCGAATAGTCAAAGCTATGGTTTTTCTTGTCGTGATGTATGGAAGTGAGAGCTGGACCATAAAGAAAGCAGACCGCCGAAGAATTGATGCCTTTGAATTGTGGTGCTGGAGGAGACTCTTGAGAATCCCCTGGATTGCAAGGAGAACAAACCTATCAGTTCTAAAGGAAATCAACCCTGAGTGCTCACTGGAAGGACAGATCCTGAAGCTGAGGCTCCAGTACTTTGGCCATCTAATGAGAAGAAAAGACTCCCTGGAAAAGACCCTGATGTTGGGAAAGTGTGATGGCAAGGGGAGAAGGGGACGACCGAGGATGAGATGGCTGGACAGCATCATCGAAGCAACCAATATGAATTAGACACAACTCCGGGAGGCAGTGGAAGATAGGAGGGCCTGGCGTGCTCTGGTCCATGGGGTCACGAAGAGTCGGACACGACTAAACGACTAAACGAACGGCGACGATGTCACATTTTAATGTAAAGGAAAAACAAAAGAAAATATGAAAACTGAGCCTAGTCTTACAGAGCACAGTTCATTTGCCAGATGAGCCAATGGTCCAAATCAGTATAAGACAACTTCCTATGTTATGTTTCAATCTTTTCCATTGGGTTCAGCAGGATCTAAAGGTGGTTCAGCTCAGCTGCATCTTGCTCATGGTAATTGCCAGCAACACCCCATTATTTTAATTTTTTTAATTTCCTTTAAAAATAGTTCTTTTGAATTATGACATTTTACGTACTTTTGCAAAACATGTTCAAACATGCCCTTGAAAATAAGCATAATTTGTCTTTGCTGCCCTCCAGTGACTTGACAATGAAACAAACTAAACAAGTATTTGTCATGGTCTAAGGAATTCTGAGATTTTGAAAATATAGTCTGCATTAATTTTCTTCCAAGTTTTGGTCAGAACACAGGAAAATTCTGGTTACTACTAACCACAGTTGTCATCACTGGTGACATAATGTCATAATCTGGAGGAAAACAAGGAGATATTTGTACCACAGAAATGGGAAGTGGACAGAACATATTAAGTTATACCTGTTCCATGCAATGACAGTTCTGAATTCTGAATCTTGAGCTGTGCTTTTAAAACTTTTTTTTTTTTTTTTAAAAGGCTTGGTGGTAGAAGTGGGTTGCTTTTCCTGGAACTCACCTGCAACCCCTAACTGATGGGTGGCATAAACAGGTAGCCTATTGTGTCCTCCTGCTAGCCATAGAGTCAGTGCAGCAGAGTTGGATTCTGCGTGGTGGAAGTCAAACCCTTGTTCTGCAGCAACAGCTATAAATCTGCTTTGTAGGATGGGAACGTGCAGCCAGACTGCTATGTGGCCTTCAGCTTTCCACTGCTTGACAGAATCTAGAAGTTAAAACAGAGCAGAATATACCGTATTTATCAAACCAAATATATATGTGAATCTGAGAAATGATTAGACCAATGCAGCTATTAATGTGAAAGACAATCACACAAAACTCAATCCATATAATAGCAAAATTTACTTTTAAAAAGGGTGGATTTGAGATTTAAACCACTGCTCAAAAAGATTTGATTTAATCATGTGATTCTCCCCCAAAGTGCACTTTTATTTGTATTAACCTGAGGAACAATAGCTGGGATTGTCACTCTGAGGGAATATACATCACCCAAGAAAGCTATTAAAAGCTACCACTAAGATTTTAACTGGGCTTCCAAAAATTTCCAACATTTTATCATATGGGGTGGGGGGAACTTCAGAAATAATTTCATTCAGAGTTTGAAAATACAGCTGATCCAATCTGTAATTTCTCCTCTCCAGATATTACTGTTAACTAGTACATAGCTTGGCTGATATAAATGCAGTTTGAGAATTGAAGTTTTTTTTAAAAAAAACGCTATCTGCTGGATTGAGTACTATGGGAGACAGATGATATAGATTTGTCTTCTCTATACAGAAGACTATAGAATTTCATAGAGTTTAGGCCCCTATCAAAGGACAAATGGACCTTGTTTACAAAACATGAGATTTTATTTCGTAGTACGCTATTCAACTTTATAATCCTCATTCCACAATTAAATGTTTCACCTATAACATTTTAAATTAAGACTTGTTAGGTAGGCCTTTAAAAAACATTTTAATAATGAAAATGAAAAATCTGATTTAAATTTAAAAATCTGATTTTTTAAAAAATCATTGTTTTTCCCCTTTTGCTTTGAAACACAGGCAACTCGTGACTGGAAGTGGGAGGACATTCCATTCCTAAACAGTGAGATCAGGAACTTTCCCTGCTTGGACTACAAACTGCCTTTACTTTTTTTTAAGTAATTTATTCTGATTTCCTTATAGCGGTATACAGCCCTTGCAAAATGACTTTATCCTTTCACATGTTTTTAGGTCAGCCTTGGGAACCTCTGACATAATAATTTGGTTCTTTGGTTCCGAAGGAAAAATAAGGTATAAAAATTAAGATCATATTCATGGAAATAAAACAGTAGAACATCCCACCACCCAATGCTCCTCCAGAGCTGACTCAGGGAGGTTAGGATGTCATGGAGCCACCATGCTGGTGGAGAGAAGTCCCAATAGGGTGGGGAATGTCCACTCCAGAGATCTCTGTTAAAAAACACCATTGGATCATTCCATGAGTGTAAAACTACCGCCAGCAGGGCTCCTTCTGTCTGCAAAATGAGACATTCTGGATGCAAAGTGAAGGCAAATTTGGTTGCACTTGGCCCACAACTCCTCTATTTGTATTAGAAGACCCTTTCACTACACCGGTCTAAAGCTTGCAAAGGTAATCAATCCTTCTAACTTACAGTTTCAATAAGGGGGACGTGGCGCTTCAATAAGATGTACCAGTCTGAAAAGCGAGTTGCCACCATCCGTTTGCCAGACTTGAGAAAGAGCAGGTTATCCAACTCCTCTTGTTCCCTAAGCCTCACTTAGAATTGCTCTCTCAGGCTGAAGTCTAATGCTACACGGTTGCTAGTGGTCATCAAGCTGCATCCAATTTATAGCAACCCTAATGGGGTTTTCAAGATACATGAAATATTTAAGGAACGGTTTTACTACTACCAATCTCTTGTGAGTTTTCATGGCTAAGTGGATATTTGACCTCACTCTATCCACTGCAACAGCTGCCTGTCTGAGGAACTGAGTAAACGTGCATAGGACTATATTATTCCTGAGGGACTTCATGAATGGTATGAAGAGGAAAAGTCCTCTTAGTGCTCCCCCCCCCCGCAATGCTCTTCCTAGCAATGCCCTCCTGTCCCCCCTCCCATCCTTCTTTGGTGCTAGATGAAGACATTCTTCCAAGTCCAGGCATTCAGCTGAATGTGACTACAATAGTTGATTTATTCCTGAAAGGGCAGTTACAAGGGCAAACATCTGCCCCTGTAGAAAGTTTAACTCCAGATGGGGATGTGCAAGAGATCTAGTCAATTCAACAATAAGGAAGACATACTCTTAAGATGTTCTCTTTCTAAATAATTGCATGTCTGAAGCATTAACCATGACAGGGCAAAGGTGGCCAACCTGCCCTCCCCACGGCACCAGACCTGAGACCTTGTGGAGGACTCTGGAATTTAGGTTGAGAGGCCCAAGATGTTTTTAAGCTGAGGGTCACAGATTGCCGGTCCCTGGCAGCGAGGAAACTCCCGCCTGAAAACACCCTTGGCTGTTTCTTCTTGCCCCCAAATTAAGTGACGGCGCTTTGTGTCGAAAAGGAGCATGCCCAGCTAAAAGCCAGGCTTTTGGTGGAAACCGCCACTCATACAGCGTGGCTCTGGTTAGCGAGCAGGGGCCTGGCCAGGAAGTGCACTCTGCATATGCCCAGAGGCGCTGCTTTCATTGCAAGGAAATGCACTCTGCACACGCCCAGAGGCGCAGCGCCGCCGGAACAATCGCGAGGAGGGCGAGTCCTGTGACTATAGGCAGGTTATCTAGTCGCTCCCCTGGCGCCCTTGGGTCTCCCTGCCGCCCTCCATCCCCTCAAGGGCCTCGAGCAAGGCGAACCCCTACCCTGCAGCCAGAGCCGGAAGGTCGCTTCGTCCAGGCTCTCTGGAGACCGCAGCTGGGACAGGTGCAAGCTGAGTCCGCCATACTTATCCTGCCGGGGCTGCAGCCCTAGGTCGGCCAGGCTAGAAGAGGACGCTTCGGTGGCGTCCTCTCGCGAGGGGAGGCAGCGACCGCCGCCCGCACCACCCGGAGGCTGAAGCGGCTGGAGGAGCCGCCGGCTCAGCGGCAAGAGCCACCGACCCCGCGCCGACCACCCAGCCCCGAACATGGCGGCAGCGGGGAGGGAGCGCCTTCGCCATAGAGGAGCAGAGTTGCCCGCACTCTGAACTTCCGGTAATGATGGGAAACCCCTCGCCAAGGGTCTTCTTCGGACAGGCACTACTTTCTCCACCCTTGAGATCTTCGTGGAGGAAAATGGCACTACAGTAAGGCCAACACCTTGTTTCTGTCCCCACCACGCTGTCTAGCCACGCTCATCAGTCTTCCCTATGTATTTATTTATTTTAAATATTTTAACCCGCCTTTCTCCAGGGCGGCTCGGATATGTACCGGTGGTGCGTATTAGAACTACGTTGGGCTCCTATCCTCTTTGGGAAACACGGGTGAATCCGTCCCGTCGTCCCAGTTCTGCAGTTGTGAACTACACTTCCGGTATCGCATGGAAGTCAGCTCAGCTGATTTAGCCTGTAAAGATGCAAAGCTAGAACGAAGCGTTTGCTTCTCTCCTGGAAGCGCCATAGAGTTAGACGTTAGAGCTGGTCTGACTTTTTTTGGGGGTCAAAACTATGGTTTAAAAATGGAAAGCTGCTGTGGGCCATCATTCCCTGTGGCTGTCAAAGGGGGTCCCCTCAAAGGTCCCCCATTTTCTGGAGACTTGAGTTTAAATTTATTTGTTAAAGAGGAACATTGCTAGGAAACGTGAGCCTTGCTGCCCGACGTTACAGAGCTTAGGAAAGTTACTGGTTGGGAGTCCACTTGCAACAGCATCGCCACCGGCCTTCATTGGCCAGGGATTGCTGGAAACTGCAGTCTGGAAGCAGCTTTCCTCCATTTGTTGCTCGCTTGGCTTTTGTGATTCCCACTGAGTCTTAACGTCTTTCCCTCGCCGCCCTTCTTACCCCTCACATGGAGGCGCTTGGAGGTCCTGTAACCCGAGCCGGAAGTGAGTGCTGCGCAGGGCCTCTCGGAACAGCAAGCCACCGCTCGCTCTCTTTGGGCTCCGGCAGCGGCCTTTTGAGGGCTAGAAGAGGAAGCGGCGCCTGCGAGGCGGGCACGTGGGCGCGCGGCGGTGCTTGCTTGGCGCGGTCCCCGCCCGGTTCCTTTCCTCCCGCCGGGATGTCCACCTCCCGGAGGAAAAGCAAGGGCCGGCCTCCCCCAGAGACCTCGTCCCCGCTGACTTCGGGGGACGGAGCCCCGGGGCGCGGTCGCGACCCAGCCCGGCCCCCGCCCGGTTCCTTTCCTCCCGCCGGAATGTCCACCTCCCGGAGGAAAAGCAAGGGCCGGCCTCCCCCAGAGACCTCGTCCCCGCTGACTTCGGGGGACGGAGCCCCGGTGGCCCTCCCTGGGCTGACTTTGGCTGCTGCCGAGTTTCAGGAGAAAGGTAAGAAGATGCTAAGCAGTCACGCGTCCGGGCTTGCCGACGCCCTTCGTTCCGGGGGGGGGGATCAGTCCGAAACCTTTTATTTCCCCCCCCTCGTCTTAATGCACGAATTCGTCCTTTGCAACCTGACCGCACGGTTGCGGTAAAGATAAAACTAGGGAGGAGGAGAGTCACTGAGTGTGGCTTTGGCTGCACTGTGTGTGTGTGTGTGTGTGTCAGTTTTCAAAGAGGTACCCCGGGTGGTCTGGTGGTTGTTGTTGTTATTAATTAGTTAGTTAGTTAGTTAATTAATTAATATACTGCCCACACTACCCAAAGGTCTCTGGGCGGCTTAAAGGTAAAGGTTCCCCTTGACAATTTTTGTCCAGTCGTGTTCGACTCTAGGGGGCGGTGCTCATCCCCGTTTCCAAGCCATAGAGCCAGCGTTTGTCCGAAGACAATCTTCTGTGGTCACATGGCCAGAGCGACTTAGACACGGAACGCTGTTACCTTCCCACCGAGGTGGTCCCTATTGATCTACTCGCATTTACATGCTTTCGAACCGCTAGGTTGGCGGGAGCTGGGACAAGCGACGGGCGCTCACTCCGTCACGTGGATTCGATCTTATGACTGCTGGTCTTCTGACCCTGCAGCACAGGCTTCTGCGGTTTAGCCCACAGCGCCACCACGTCCCTCTGGGCGGCTTACAAGATTTAAAATACAATAAAAATGCAGAACAATTAACATACAAGTAAAATATATGTAATAATTGCCCTCGGACCCACAGTTAATATTATTTCAATTATAAGTTACAAGAAGAAGGCCACATGTTTTGCTACCTTTAAAAGTCAACGGGTTTAGTTCGTTGTTTGTCTCTCCGGGTTATAATCCACTTCCCTAGGCAGGTGGTCTAAAAATTTTGTAGGCCACTTGCTTATAGATAGGACGTGGATGCTTGGGACCTAAGAGAAGGGGTGATGAGTGGCCTCTCTGTACCCATCACAGGGATATCCAGTCCTGTTGCAGAGGTCCAGAGGAGGTGCCTTTGGCCTGTGCTCATCCAGTTAGGATGGATTCTTTTCGGGTTGAATGAGGACACAGTCAGGCAGAGGCCTTCACAAACTATAAAAGTGGTCAGGTGTAGACTGATATTGGTGAGTGCTGTTTTTTTTTTTAAAAAATCACAGCTTAGCTTCCCATTTCTGCTGCTTCTGCTTCGTGGGTTGTATTATGTTTATTTATTTGTTGCATTTATATTCCACATTCTTCCATTGTGATCTTTTCCTACCTGCTTTATTTTAACATCAACAGCAGGTGGGGGGTCTCTTCTGCAGTTTGAGATAGTGACTAATCCTGGGTCATCCAGTGGCTTCATGGCTCAGTGAGGACATAAACTCTGATTTCCCGTGTCTCAGTGCAGTGCCATCACCGCACCAGCCCATTTTAATCTTTGGAGAATTGCCCAGCTGCATCCCTGTCTAGACACAAGGGCACTCGTGACACTGATTCATGCCCTCTTAATCTCAAGAACAGACTACTGTAGTGCTCTCTATGAGGGGCTACACTTGAAGCTGATACAGAGACTTCAACTGGTCCAGAATTTGGCAGCCACATTAATAACTGGGGTGAAGAAATTCCACCACATTTCCCTCACTTTGGCCACCCTTCATTGGCTACCGGTTCTTTTCTGCATCGACTTCAAGGTTATGTTAATAACATTCAAAGCCTTCTCAGTGGTAGCCCCCCCGCCTGTGGAACAACCTGACTATTGAGATCCGCCTGGCAGCTTTGCTGGATGGGTTCAAATGAGCATTGAAGACTTGGCTCTTCCGCTAGGTTTTCCCTGAGCATTAAGATCTCAGCCTCCCTTTTACCATCCTTTTTGCCATCCTCTTCATCACCCTTTTTACCACCTTCATTGCCATCTATTTTAATTTATTCTGTCGGCTATGTATTATATTATTTTTACTGTGTTTTAATATTGCTGTTTATATTGTCGTTAGCCACACAGAGTGGCCTGGTTGCCAGATGGTGAGAGATATAAATCCAATAAATAGATAAATAAAAATCTAGATAAAAACGGATCACTTGATGCTTTCATACCAGTCAAAAAAATTTAAGAACAACCAAAATGAAGTCACTAGAGATTCAAGTTCTGGAAAAGAGCTTGCATGCCTCCCAGTTCTCCCCATTCCTGTGTGCTTTCAGAAGATACAATTTCAGAAAATTCTGTTTTCATAACTGTGAGCTCCAAACACATATTAAACTAGGTAAAATTATGCAGAACTATATAATCATCATCTTAGAACTGCAGAGCTGGAAGGGACCCTATGGGTCATTCAAACTGAGCCCCTGCCAAGGAGGCACAGTGGGGAATGGAACTCTCAACCTCTGGCTCTGCAGACAGATATCTAAATTACTGAAGTATATGCATACAGGCATGCTTATTTGCATAAATGACTTTGATTTCAGAACATGGAGTTTCAGGCTGAAGGTATGGGTTAGATCTAGAACAACACCTATATACCCTGTTTCCCTGAAAGTAAGACCTAACCTGGAAATAAGCCCTAGTATGATTTTTCAGGATGCTCATCATCTAAGCACTACCCCCCAAATAAGCCCCAGTTAAGAGAAATCCACCCTCCACCCTTGTGCAGCAACCAGAAAATGATAGGTAAAGGTAAAGGTTCCCCTTGACAGTTTTTGTCCAGTCATGTTCGACTCTAGGGGGCGGTGCTCA